GTCACATTCAAGATTCGTCGCTGATTGATGCCCGGACGATGTTGGTCGGAGTTCGGGCATTCCCCTGTAACCTGCTGATGGCAGGGGGCGTGAGGACTTTTAGATAGATTTGGGGATGTTTTGGGCCGACATCCTAAGGGACAGTTTGGGGTTGCTGCTGAATTACGGTAGATGAAGATCGGGCGAGTCATGTTGCCCTGTAACCTAACAGGTTGAGGGAACAAGGATTGGAAAAGTCGAAGGGAATATGATAGGTTTGGGGTTTTTGGTTGGACATACTTAGATAACCCTCACAAGTTTCTGTGATATTCGAAAGATTGAGGGGGGTAATAGGTTATGTTATGAGGTGGTGGAAGTAATTGGGCATGAATCGTGAGTTTCTCAATTTCGTAGCAGTTGTTCTTGATCAGGAAGGATATTCTTAGTTGAAGTCGAGGAATGGCACCAGACTATCAAATATGTTATATATTTGTTTTCATATCGGACCCTAAACTCGATTCCCAACACTTGCTTCTCCCCAAGAATGAAGCGCTATGTGTGGAAAAAAAAAAAAAAAACAAAAAAAAATGGGTTAAACAAATACAAACCAACATACGTATTCCTATTCTAACAATAATTTGTTTCAACTACGTTTACTTTCCTCTCTGGAAGTTTGACCATCCATTCATTTCCTACAGTCTCTGCCCACTCTACCAGCCTCTAAGTTGGTACAAAAGGATCCGATTATATGCAAGGAAACTAAAGGATGGTCAGATGATATTTGCGTCCAAGAAACTCACATACATCTAAATACCTCTTCATAAAGCTAAAAAAAAGGGTATTGCCCTCTGTCTCATTTTTCGCACCAGCAGAAGTTGGAGCATCTAGAAAAGATGGTAATTTAGCGTCACTTCAAGGTTATCCACTCTATACTCACATTATAACCACCAAGAGGGTAGACATGTTTATCTTAAATTGCTTGTATTTCCAAAACTTATGTATACAAATTACCTAGGCTACTAATTGGGCTCCCTGGGTCACCCTGCTTTCCCGCACAGCCCGGTCGTGCAAGGAACAGAGCTATGTAGCACACCGAACATGTTCGGAGCTTTTCCGAACGTCCGAACATGTCCGAACATGTTCGGCTGTTCGGCCGAACGCCACCCAAACGTGTTCGGCCGAAGTTTTTTGGTTTTTTATTTTTAACTCGACTTAAGTTACGAATTTGACCAAACCTCCGAGGCAAAAGTTGTTTGTATTATTATTTTACATAACATATATTTTTTTCAGATTTTATTAAAAACGTTCTTTTTTTTAATAATATTTTAATGTTCACGTTCGGAGAGTTTCAGCGCTCGTTTGCGTTCGAAGAGTTTCAGCGCTCATTCGCGTTCGGTCCCGAACATTTGGGTTCGGTCACCGAACCCGAACAAGATGCTACACACGACCAGAAAAAGTCCCAGCAAAAAAAAAAAAAAAAAAAAACAAAAACTAACTATGTTATGCAGAAAAATAAACTGAATCAGGGTAACCGGCGTTCAGGACGGGCCGAACACCCGAACCCGAACGCCCGAACGTATGGGACCCCTTGGGGATGCGTTCGGCCGTTTGGGCCGGACGCGGACCCAAGAAAAAAAAAAAAAAAAGTCATAAAAAAACTCTAAGAAAAAGATATGTTATGGAGAAAAATAAATTAAACAAGAGGATTAAATTTGAAGAAAATTTGCCTGAGCATTACGTCCGAATTCCTTACCAAATTTGAAGAAAAAAAAAATACACAGGAAAAATATTAATAATAAAAATAAAAAGAGAATTAAATTTAGTGAGTGCGAGAGCATGTTTTCGAGACCGCCATCTTTGGCGATTTTTCATTTTTGTTTGGCATAGCTAAATGCCCTGAAAATTTACAGATGTGTACTTCACATAATACAAAACCCACTAAAAAAGTTTCAAAAAATAATAAAATTGTTTAGACCCCGAACTAAAGTGAAAACAAAAAGTTGAAAGTGAAAAAAAACGTGGGCGAGCACGTTTTGACACCGCCATCTTTGATGATTTGTAATTCTTATTCGGTTCAGCCAAATGACTTGAAATTTTATAGGCATGTACCTCACATCATAGAGAACTCATAAAAAAAAACTTCAGAAAAAAAACATTATTTTTACGCCCCGAAATAATTTTTGGCAGGGGCCGAACGCCGTCGGGTTCGGGCCCCGTAAGGGACCCCGAACGCCCGGACGTACGAAGGTCCGCCGGGGGCCTCCGTACGTACGGGCTGGTAACCCTGAACTGAACAATTTTTTATTTTACCTCACATCCAAATTTTTTACAAAATTTAAAATAAAAAATAAAATCAAAATTCATGTTTATTTTTTATTTTTTTATCAAGGCTGTTTTTCTAGGCGCCCGGACACCCAACTTATCTCAAGGTATGCACCCGATGTGTCTGGCCTGGTATGACCCCGGGGCAGGGTTCCGAGCAGCCTCAAGTCCAAAAAAAAAAAAAAATCAAAAACTTCCGGAAAAAACATATGTTGTGTAAAATTGCAATACAAACAATTTTTGGCTGAGGGTCATATTAAAATTCCTCATTGAATCGGAGATAAAAAAAAAAAATAACATAATCACACTGAGGCAACCCCCTTCAAATCCCTTTAACCCATTTCAAACCAATTTACACCCCCTACCCCCCTTGCCAGCCAACTTGCAAAAAAAGAAATTAGTCTGGATTAAGGGTCCTTTGAGAGAGCGCAGAAAAATATATATATCTATATTTATATCTATATATATACAGGGTCACCAGCCCGTACGTACGGAGGTCCCCGGGACGACCTCAGTACGTACGGGCGTTCGGGGTCCCGTGCGGGGTCCGAACCCGATGGCGTTTGGCCCCGGCCAAAAATTATTTCGGGGCCTAAAAAATATATATTATTTTTTTGAATTTTGCTATGTGGTTTCTCTACGACGTGAGGTACATGCCTATAAATTTTAACGTCATTTGGCTCCACCAAGTAAGAATTAAAAAATCGCCAAAGATGGCGGTGTGAAAACGTGCTCGCCCACGTTTTTTTCCACTTCTTACTTTTTGTTTTCACTTTAGTTCAGGGTCTAAAACAATTTTATTATTTGTTGAAACTTTTTTCGTAGGTTTTGTATTATGTGAAGTACACATCTGTAAATTTGCAGGGCATTTAGATATGCCAAAAAAAAAAAACAATCGCCAAAGATGACGGGGTAAAAAATATGCTCGCGCGCTCACTAAATTTAATTATATATATATTTTTTTAATTTTTCTTTATTAGTATTCGTTCTCTGTTTTTTATTTTTATTTCAAATTTGGTAAGGAATTTGGATGTAATGCTCAAGCAAATCTTGTTGAATTTATTTTTCTTTCTGACATATTTTTTTCCTGATGTTTTGTTTTGTTTTGTTGTTGTTGTTGTTGTTGCTGTTGTTGTTGGTTTTTTTTTTTTTTTTTTTTTTTCCCGCATGCAGCCACAAGGAGTCCCATACGTTCGGGACGGGCCGAACGCAGACCCAAAAAAAAAAGAAAAATAAAAAAATTCCGAACAAAAAACAAAGTTATAAAAAAAAATAAATTAAACAACATTTGCCAGGGCACTGTACCCGAATTTTTTACCAAATTTGAATTAAAAATCAAATACAAAAAATAAACACTATTACACAAATAAGAAAAAATAAAAAGAGAATTAAAATGAGTAAGTGTGCCAACACCTTCTCGACACCGCCAAACTGAAAAAGAACAAAATAATGAGTGGGCGAGCACGTTTTGACTCTCCCATGTTTAACGATTTTTAATGCTTTTTGGGCTTAGCAGAATGGCTTCAAAATGTATAGGGGTGTAGGTTACATCATAGAGAACTCACAGAAAAAACTTCAGAAAAAAAAACTTATTTTTAGGCCCCAAAATTGTTTTTGGTGGGGGCCGAACCTGGAGGTGTTCGGCCCCCGAACTGGACCCCGAATGCCCGACGTTCGGGGGCCAGCCCGGGGGCCCCCGAATGTTCGATCAGGTAACCCTATATATATATACAGGGTTACCAACCCGTACGTACGGAGGCCCCAGGGCGGACCTCCGTACGTTCGGGCGTTCGGGGTCCCATACGGGGTCCGAACCCGACGGCGTTCGGCCCCCGCCGACGTTGAACAAAGGGATGTTACATAGGATTAAGGAATGCACCACCGACGCCGCCCTGGTGGCAGAAGCGTTACTCTCGCTGAAATGCGAATTAAGGAAACAGGCATTTCCAGCTGAGCTGTTTGATGGAACCCTCTGGAGGTTCGTGCGGGTCTGTACTCCGGACTAGGCTCATGTAGCCCAAAGGGTTACTTTCGGTCTGTAATAGGTGGGGTTCGAACAAGGGGCATCACAGTATGTCACCCTGATGATGAATCGTTGGCTACGGCAAGTGAGGCTTGATCAAGAGACCTCACAGTAGGACTTGTCTCAATGTTTGGGTCTGTCGAAGAGTGCTTAGTGGATACATAGGGAATCCTCTGGGTTGTACGGAAGTTACGAGAATCAACTCGTAGGCTAAATCATAGTGTTTGACGGTAGTCGAGATATGAGAACGGGCGGTAGTTTAGTAGGCTATAATTAGTAGAACAGTGAGTTGTTTGACCTCTTTTCAAACGTCGAGACGTAGGACGTGCGTGTGTAGGGCGTACCCGCGTTCCTCGCGCGTATTGCTTTGGAATGTAGTTGTGCTGACTGTGTATTTTTTCGACATTCTAAAGCGCCGTCTTCAGTCTCCGATGTTGACGAAACAAGGTTGTTGTCACTGTGTTCATTTGGTGTGAACAAACTCGCTGCATGCATGTTTTGACTACTGCTGCATCGTTCTCACTTACCTGTGATTGAGCACTGTAAACCTGCCGAGGGACTTTACTCGGACCTTGGTGACAGTGAATGGTGCTTAGGATTTGAGTGGTTTGACGAGAAAGATATCTGGATTGTGCGCGTGAGCAAAAGGTGTAACTAACACAAGAGTTTGCTACTGAGCGACGAAGTGGTGAAGAAACCGAGAGAGGTTCGAAGTGCCAGTTGGGACGGGCTGACCTGGAGCTTGAGGAGACGGTGTTGGAAGAATGGGAAGCAAGAGGAGTGAATCATGGGGAAGATATGATAGGTATAGGGAAAATGATGGTAGAGGATGGGATACTGAAGATGAGAGGCGGGAGAGGGGACGAGAGCCTGAGCGAAGGCATGATGAACGCCGTGGTTTTTCGGCTGATGGAAGGGGTGAAGGGCCGCGACCAGTTAAATGTTATGAGTGTGGGGAGCTTGGGCATTACAAGAGTCAGTGTCCCCGACTACAGGGGCGGTTCGGAGGAGGAGGGGGAATTCTTAATTTGAGTAGAGAGATCGAGGAGTCGCTGAGCGCCGTGGGAAAGATGGCTAAGCAAGTACTCGACAAACAACGTGAGGTTGAAGCTGGGAAACAGGAGGCTGAAGCGAAGTTGAAGAAGGAGGAGGAGGAGAAAGCGAAGAGGGAAGAGGAGGCAAGAGTGGCGCTGGAGAAGAAACAGGCAAAGGAAGAAAAGGAGAAGAAAAAGAACTGGGAGTTGAGAAAGCTCCTCGCCAAGCAGGCGGAGGAATACGAGTTGAAGATGGAGAAGCTAGTTGGGCTCAGTAAGAAGTTGAAAGGAGTGACAATCGGAACTAAGGAGAGAGGAAAAATGAAAAAAGTGTCGTCGAGTTCAGAAGATGCCGATGACGACGAAGCCGAAGAGGAGGCAACGCCGCTGAAGGACAAGAGGAAGCGTCGGGATCCTACCGGAGGGGCGGTGAACAGCCCGCCTGTCGAAACGCCAAAGAAACATGGGAAGCAGGAGGGGGTTGATACCCCGACGAGTCAACGACGTAAAGGGAGAGGGAGACCGTCAAAAGCGGATGCTCAAGCAGCGAGGATGGAGAAAGGTGAAGACCCATGGGAAGGGGTGCCTATGGGAGAGAAGTTCGCAACCGAAGCTGCATATCGGAAGGTCGTGCGAAGGGCAATTGGGTCGTTTTACCCAGAGACGCTCAAGCTGATGTGTAAAGGCGCTGGTCTGCCGTTCTATGGAGTTAATGACGCCATCGATACTTTGACAGAACTACGGGTTACGAACTGCTACCGTGGTAAGAAGGCACCCAGTCAGTCCTCGAGCCGTACCACCGAAGACGAGCAGATTAGGGGGGAGATCCAGGATCCCCAGGGTGAGTCAGACAAGTAGATCTGAAGGATGGGAAATTCTGCTAAAGTTCTTTGAGATTCGGAGATGGTGTAAGTTCAACAGGAAGGGAAGGAACTTGTTATCCTTAGTGGAGAGAATTCTTCGTAATGCTGTGCTGCTATTAGTTTTGGAGAATGAAATCACCTGGGGTCGAAAGTATGTGGAATGTATGTGCGAAGTGTTCGAAAAGACACGGGGTATGTGGGATGATAAGGAAACGTGTGTGTATATTCTGCTTGATCCCTGGTGCAGACCGACGTACGTAGGGAAGACTGAAAGAAGGTTAAGTGATAGGTGGTCTGAGCACGTTGGGAGGGCGCAGTCGAAATGTGGATCGAGGAAGAATAAGTTGTATAAATGGCTTAGGAAATGGGGTTGGGAGTCGTATGTTGCGATCCCGGTTGCGATAGCAGACCGGGCTGACTTGGAACCACTGGAATCGAAATTGATAAGACGATGGTGCCCCGGGCTGAATGTGAACGGGTGGAAAGACGGGAGGAACAGGAAGAAGAAGAGGAGGAAGGGAAGGAAGGAGAGGAAGAAGAAAAAGAGGGAGTATTTTGATGAAGAGAAGGTGCTCAGGTTTTACGATGAGAAGGGAAAAAGTTCGGGAAAATTGTCTGAGTTAATCAAGTCGATTAAAGGTAAGAAGGAAAGATCGATCGTATCTAGTGGAGGGAAGATTTGGCTTGAAGATTGGGGAGTGATTAAAAGGGTGTTTGGGGAATCCGACATGCTGTTCCAGAACGCGAGAAGTAAGTTACGAAATTCGAAACATGACCTCGAACAAGGAGGAGAAGTCCGTTTCATGAGAGTTCGGGAGCGCACTTCGGGGAACCCTGTGCTGAAAAAGCAGCTATACCAGCTGCTGAAGTGTCCCTGGTCAAAGAAGAAGCTAGACGATCTCCAGTTAGATCAGCTTATCGACTTGTACCAAGAAACCAAGTGCATTACGAGGAAGTGTTCAAGGAAGAGCTTGAGAGATACTATAGATAAAGTCTTGAAGAGGAAGTTTGGGGTGAATCTGAGAAGGAGAGTTGTTGTGGGAGTGAAGTATGATGATCGGATCTCAAGGGCGGAAATTAGGAAGTACCTGGTGAAGAAGATTGGGGAACAGAGTCTGTTACCTGCCGAAGCTAAGCCGCGCTGTCAGAAGCTGCGGATGGTCTGGAGAAAAAACCAAACTGTTGGATGTCTTCTACACAACCATAGGCGATTCAGTCGCCTACTGGCTACGGTTTGCTCTTGTGCTGACCTACAGCTCCCTAGACAGGGAGAACACGTAGCTTTTCGCTTAAGCAGCAGGGGGGAGGTTGATTCGAGAATTCGGAACGCAAAGAACGTGGTTAGAGGGATCGATAGTTCCAATGAGGAGATTAAGTTGTGTACAGAATTGAATGAGGAAATGAAGAAAGCGGGGTTGGAACCTACCTGGACGTTGCATCAAGCCAGGAGTTGTATTCAGAAGAGAAGGGGAAGTCAGGATGGGCTGATAGATGAAGTCGAGAAAGTGAAACAAAAATGGGATGGATTGGTGTTCTGTCAGTTGGATAAGAATCCTTCGGAGACCTTAGTTATGTGCCCTGTGTTGTATGAGGAAGCGATGCGAACGATGTTTTGGGAAAACAAGGCCTTCGACCCTGTCTGGAGGAGAGAAGAGGAGGTGATGGTGAAGGCGAAGAAAGAATTTGAGGAGAAAGGACTTACAACAGTAGGGAGTTGGAATGGCAAAGGTTCATGGGGGAAGGCTTATGTACTGCCTAAACACAAGGACACCTCGAAGTTCCGGCCTATCTCTCCTTCGTTCCCGAAGCCTGCACGGTTGGCGAATCAGAGAGTGACGAGGGCATTGAACCTCCTACTCTTCTCGCTGCCAAAGAACTGCAATTTTAATTTGAAGTCTACTAATTTGATGAAATCGAGGTTAGATGATGTCAATAAGTGGGCCTCAAAAAAGAAGAAAGGGGAATTGAAGGGGGTCGCTTACGACATTAAGGAAATGTCTAGTAGGCTCCCGCATGATTCAGTGAGGAAGGCTATCGATTGCATCCTATCTGTCTTTGAGAGGAAAGGAAAGAAACATTTGTTGGTGAGGACGAGAGGTAAAGGAGCCTCGTTTGGAGTGAAGAAAGGTGAGGAGGGATGGGTGAAGATCACCTTTGAGATGATTCGACAGATGGTGGACTTTGATCTCAGTAACGCATTCATATGGGTCTCTGATAGACTTATTAGACGGAGGGAAGGTATTCCGATGGGGAAGTCAAGCAGTCCCCCCATTGCGTGTATTCTGTGTGCATTCTACGAATTCAAATTTTTGAATAGTTTGGGGAAGGATGTGGGGCTTGTTAGGGGGATTAGATTGGTTGACGATGTTTCCCTTTTTGTGTGGCAGGGTTGGGATAAGAAAAATCGTGGGAAGGTAGATGATATCATCAGTAGGTTTGAGAAAGCGTATGACCCGAAGCTGGCATTGAAGAAGACTGATGATGGGCAGAATGAATGGAGTTTCCTCGGTTGCAGAATGAAGATTGAGGTCGGGGTGGTGGTCAGTTGGTATAGAGCGAAGAATTTCAAGGAAATCTAGGATGACAGCGATCAACTAGTCTACCGGTGTTTCCAGGACTTCTCATCGTATACCTGTATGAAGCAGAAAAGGACGTTGATCAAAGGGATGTTACATAAAATTAAGGAATGCACCACCGACGCTGCCCTGGTGGCAGAAGCGTTACTCTCGCTGAAACGCGAATTAAGGAAGCAGGCATTTCCGACCGAGCTGTTTGATGGAACCCTCTGGAGGTTCGTGCGGGTCTGTGCACCGGACTGGGCTCATGTAGCCCAAAGGGTTACTTTCGGTCTGTAATAGGTGGGGTTCGAACAAGGGGCATCACAGTATGTCACCCTGATTATGAATCGTTGGCCTACGGCAAGTGGGGATTGATCAAGAGACCTCACAGTAGGACTTGTCTCAGTGTTTGGGCCTGTCGAAGAGTGCTTAGTGGATACATAGGGAATCCTCTAGGTTGTACAGAAGTTACGGGAATCAACTCGTAGGCTAAATCATAGTGTTTGACGGTAGTCGAGATATGAGAACGGGCGGTAGTTTAGTAGGCTATAATTAGTAGAACAGTGAGTTGTTTGACCTCTTTTCAAACGTCGAGACGTAGGACGTGCGTGTGTAGGGYGTACCCGCGTTCCTCGCGCATATTGCTTTGGAATGTAGTTGTGCTGACTGTGTATTTTTTCGACATTTTAAACACCGTCTTCAGTCTCCGATGTTGACGAAACAAGGTTGCTGTCACTGTGTTCATTTGGTGTGAACAAACTCGTTGCACGCATGTTTTGACTACGTCTGCATCGTTCTCACTTACCTAAAAATATTTTGTTTTTTCTGAATTTTTTTTAACGAGTTCTCTATGACGTGAGGTACATGCCTATAAATTTTCAAGTCATTTGGCTTAGCCAAATAAGAATAAAAATCGCCAAACATGGCAGTGTCAAAACGTGCTCGCCCACGTTTTTTTTCACTTTTTACTTTTTGTTTTCACTTCAGTTCGGGATCTAAACAATTTTATTATTTTTTGAAACTTTTGAAGTGGGTTTTGTATTATGTGAAGTACACATCTGTGAATTTTCAGGGCATTAAGCTCTGCCAAAAAAAAATAAAAAATCGCCAAAGATAGCGGTGTCGAAAACATGCTCGCGCACTCACTAAATTTAAGTTTCTTTATATTTTTATTTATTTTTATTATTAGTATTTTTTTTGTGTATTTTATTTTTCTTTCAA